TCGCGTTTTCTGTCGAAGAATTAGTGTGGGTACTGTATACTCAAATGTGTATGTATTCGATGTCATTACTTGAATTTAAAGGCACCATAGAATTTTCTGGGAAAATTTCGTAGAAGAGTACTTGCTGAGGCCTTTGCATTAGTGATGAGAGCTTCAAATTGTTGAAAATTTGAAAATTGGGGCTGCACCCGAGCTAGAACAGAGAGACCAGATCGTGCAATTTATTGACCCATTCCAGATTCATCTCCTTTAAACGTCGAAATCGACATCAGCGTCCGAAGTATGGGTCCTATATCCGAGCAGAATATGGTAAGCCTTACTATTCAAGAGTCGTAAATTGATTAGTCCTACTGTCATCCACCCATGTAATGAAAAACATCTTGCCACTAGCTGATAATTAGTGCGCAGTTATCCAGAAAAATGGTCCGTAGGGAAAAAGAGTAGGATCAAGGATAAGACTAGAAAATTTTCTGGTTTAGGAATTTTCACTCGACTGCTACTTTCGACAGAAATGGCTAGATCGACGTTTAGCGTTCACGCCAATCAATCCAGACAAGCCCGTAATGCCACTTGCAAGCAAGATGTTGAAGGACATTTGGGTAAGTCATCCATGGGTTAAAAAATCTGATCCTCAAAAAACATTCGCGATATTAACTGTAAAATGTGAGTAAACATTTTTAATTAGAAACATTTATCGCTCACAAACAGATTTTCAATCAGAAAAACAGCTTCTACTGCGCAAAGTAATGTGTCACTTTTTTCTACGCACAAAACAAGAAAATATTAATTACAGTGCAAGTTGATCATAACTTCTATGCTTTCAGGTACCCGATACTTACATCCGAAATGGCCGCAAATCTTATCTGCATACTCTTACGGTTCCGAATATTCTGTTCAGAGTACGGTCTGATGGTCAAGTTCATGTATCGCAAAGGTATACTCATTTGTTTTGAGCCTTTCAAGCATTTCATGTAATCCCTTAGGCTGACGATACGCTCTAAATGTCATATGTTCCTGAGAAAGTTTCCTATGGATGTGCAGGTAAATGACCTCAAAACTCTGTGCAAAACCAAACATCGAATAAAATCGAGAAGGTCTTCAATCCATCCTAACGAATTTCAAATTTGACTTTTCCCTGGAAAAGGATTAAATGTCATCAAACTGACGCAACACGTTGATTTTCCTTCGAAATTAGACTGCTGCAAAAAATGAATAAGTAAGTTAGTAAAGATTCTGCTTTGTCAGGCTTGCCCAATAGAAATTGGTTCTCTCGGATACTTTGCTGACGATGTCGTCTACAACTGGAAAGATGTGGATCTGGATGCAAAAATGGGCAACATGCTATCACAATATAAAATTCTAAATCATTTCAAATCCGAGCACAACTTCTCTGACTATCGATTTCCAGATAGAAGTAAGTGGTAGAGCCAACCAATTATGAACCGTAAGATAAATCTTTAGACATATCCGTTCTGAAGGTATACTTCAAGCTTCAGCGTCAGCAAGGTTATTATGTGTTGCAAATTTACACTCCTTGCACATTGCTTGTTGTAATGTCTTGGGTCTCATTCTGGATTAATAAAGAAGCGTCACCAGCACGTGTAGCATTAGGTAAGTTTCAAGTTGATTTGTTGCTAAAACTTGAAGATTTATTACCAGGAATCATGACTGTGCTATCAATGTCCACTCTTGGATTTGGTCTGCGTACCGATCTGCCCAAAGTGTCTCATTCAACAGCATTGGATATTTATATTCTGTAAGTCGATCAGTTTTTGTGAAGAAAATTTGTTTGCAATATCTAATGTACTGGTTGAAAAATTGTGTTTGGTCTTGATAGCAAAAACTACCTGTGGTCAAACATTGAGCAATTGCAATCAATGTATCCAGTAAATACTCGCCATCGGCTCTTTTCTTACAAATTTCATTCTGATTACTTCAGCACAATGAACCTAGCAATAGAGCCTATACAAGCTATTTGTTACTATGGCCTCCAGGGCTAAGTACTACTACTCGAATGTGCGAAAACTACAACACAAGTGGCAAAGGCTCATACGCGTCTGACATCGAAGGACTCTTTGGCGCGTTTACTCGGAACCGCCAACCTGAAAACGAATACCAGTAACAAATATCGTGCCCCCAGTTTAAAATCAAGTTAATGTATACGATACGATAACATGAACACATTAATTGAAATGAACACTGCTAGAGTTACTACTGTTGAATCTCTAGCTGAAACTTCGTCACAAGTTATCAAACATGCTGAATACGAATGCGTTCTTTGTTCAGCGCACTAGCATCATCCGGTGGAGATACAGTACCAATGTGGTAGGGATGAAGGCGATTTGTCAAAAAGTTGTCCATCAGTTGATAATAC